AATGTTGCTGTTCTTGAGAGACATGTCAGCATTTTGGAAGGAAGCTTCCATTGGTTTAGAAATACATACTTTTTAATTTATTTATTTTAGTTAAAAATATTTTAAAAAAGGTTTTATCTATTTATTTTTAGAGAGAGGGGAAGGGAGGGAGAAAGAGAGGGAGAGAAACACCAGTGTGTGGTTGTCTCTCATGTGGCCCCCACTGGGGACCGGCCTGCAACCCAGGCGTGTGCCCTGACTGGGAATCAAACTATCGACCCCTTGGTTCTCAGCCTGTGCTCAATCCATTGAGCTACACTAGACAGGGCTTAAAAATCTTTTTAAAAAGATTTTTATCTATTTATTTTAGACAGAGGGGAAGGGAGGGAGAAAGAGAGGGAGAGAAACACCAGTGTGTGGCTGCCTCTCAGGCATAGGCCAGGGCCTAAACCATTCCTGAAACAACCCATGAGTCAAAAGAAATGAAGAGGGAAATCAGAAAAAATTTTGATTCCTGTCTGGTGTGGCTCAGTGGATTGAGCACTGGTCTGTGAACCAAAAGGTTGTCAGTTCAGTTCCCAGTCAGGGCACATACCTGGCTTGCAGACTGGGTCCCCAGTTGGGGGGCACGTGAGAGGCAACTCCACATTGATGTTTCTCTCCCTCTCTGTCTCCTTTTCCCTTCTCTCTAAAACTAAGTAAATAAAATCTTTTTTGAAGTCAAAAGAAAAAATTTTGAACTGAATGAGAATGAAAACACAACATATCAAAATTTGTGAAATGCAGGCAAAGGAATACTTAGAGGGAGATTTATAGCACTAACCACCTCTTTATGCAAAAGAAAGGGGTCGGTGACCTCTGCTTCCACATTAAGAAAGTAGATCAGAGAGTCAGTTATACACATCCAAAGAAAGGAAATAACATAAAAGCAAACATTACTGAAAAATTTAAATATGGAAACTCCATGGAACCAAAAGCTAATTCTTTTAAGGTTAGTAAAATCCTGAGCCAGGCCAAAAGGTTCAGTAGACACTGTAGACGCCTGCGTCCACCATCAGTAATCGTCGGGGTGAGACGGCCCCCACACAGTCGTCGGGTGACTCCCATCGACCTGACGCACTGCGCACAGGGGCGGGGGCATGGTGCACCGCAGTGCCCCGACAGCGCTCCTGGGGAGAAGGTCGGGTGTTCTCTCACGTTAGGCACCTGCCACGTGACCCATCATTCTGTTCCTTGGCATTTGTGCGAGAGCATCAAAGGCCGAGTCCACACCACGGGTCACGTGTGCACGGGAGTGGCAGCTGTCTCTGTGATGGCCCCAGGCTGGAGGTGACCAGGACATCTCACAGTGGAAGAGTGTATGTGCGAGGTGTGGCTCACCCACACCGTGCAGTGCTGCTTGGTAACAAAGGAACAGCTCCTCCTGATGCACACGTACATGGGCGTCACTGCCAAGGAAGGAGCAGCGGTCTGCGGCAAAGCCAGACCGGAGATAGTGCCTTTCGTGATCCTGCACACTGGTGGTTAGAGCCCTAGAAAGTGCACGAGTCCCGGAGACGCGTTCCGTCTGGTCGTCGCTGTGACCGGGTTGGGCTGGAGGAGAGATGGGTACAAAGGGACCCACGCAGATTTGGGGGTGGTGGTAGCATCCATTATGTTGACTAATGTGATAGCGTCACAGGTGTGTACATGTCAAAATTATTCAAATTGCACAGCACAGGGATGTCCAGCTTTTATTGCACCTTGGGCACAGCTGCGCACTGTTTTTGCCAGAATCAGTGGGTTTGTGTGTGCGCCTCTCATTCAGTCCCAGCAGAGGAGCCGCCCGGGGCACGGGTGTTGGGTCACCTGAACTGTAGTTGGTTGTGTGTGTGTATGTGTGCTTTGCAGCAGCCTCTTGCTTTGTCTGAAAATGAGATGGAGAGGAGAGTTCCACCTCCTCAGAGCACTAGCTTCGTCCCTGGGCTTGTTGGTCAGGTGTCAAGAAGGACTGACTCTCGCTCAATGACCCCGGATTATGCCTGTGCTTGCATCCTGCTCCTGAGCGTCTTATTCAAAAACAGCCCCCAGCTGTTTGGGTGTTTAACACCCAGTTCATATGTGCAGTGCCCAGAGCAAACCCTTGATTCCTGCCACTGCCCCAGGCTGTCCCCTGTGCCCGGCATCTCTGTGGTCGGCATGCCCAGCGCCTGGGTGGCTAGGTCCGTCCTCATCGCATCCTTGGGTCCGTTGGCAAGTTCTGTGGCTCTGCCTTGGACACCCCTGAGTCTGCCTGCTCCGTTCTTCCGTGCCTCCCACCTGTGCCTGGAACTGCCTGGAGCAGCCTCATGTACATTGTTACCTTGCTGGAGGTTCTTTTGAAGGAGAGGGCCATGCCGTTCCCTTCCAAGAAACCTCCCAGCCTCAGCCTCCCTCCTGCCTGAGGCTCCTGGGCTCCCAGTGCCTCCTCCCAGATGCTCACTCGGCTGCGCATCTGTCCTTCGTGTGGCTCTCGTCCCACGATGTCCTCTTGCAGCCCCACTCTCCACCTGGGCAACTTCCTTTTCTTCCTAGAGGGGACCATCTGCCCCTGGATGTGAGCTGAGCTGGTCATGCCTATGTCTATGTGTCTGCTGTCCTTCGAACCAGCAGAGCCTCCCTGTGACTCGTCATTGCATCCTGCCGTCTGGCCTCTCAGCAGACCTGGCATCTGGTGGGTTTCAGAGGGCACCTCTGGTGGGGGCACCTGTGGGGGAGGTCCTCCCATCTTGGAGCCTTCCACACGCCCAGTCCAACTCCTCCTCACCCTTGACCTCTGGTTCCCTAGCGGTCTTGTCAGCTCCCCCATCATGGAGACCACATGGCCACCTCACCCCTAAGGTGAAGATGGATTCTCCCCGTTCTTGTTCCCTGCCTTTGTCTTATCTCATCTCTCCTCTGCACACGGTCCATCAGCCTGTTAGAACGGGAGATCAGGCCACTCCTGGCTCACGGCACCGCCCCCTCATCTGGCCTTCTGCCCCCAAGGCCTTTGTGCTTGCTCTCTGGAATGCCCCTCCTGCAGCCAAGTGTGGCTTCCCGCCTCCAGATTTCTCCTAGAGGAACCCTCACTGGCTGCCCTGAAGGGCACCAGCCCCGGCCCTGTAAGCTCTCCTGCTCTGCCTTTGCTTCCTTCTCAGTTGCCACGGTCTGATGGGCTGCATTGTTTACTTACCTGTCTTATTCATGGTCTTAGTCATTGACAAGGATGTTAGTGCCCCAGGACAGAGGTCTACCTGGGCCTGGAAATACTGATGGATGGACAGACAGACTCATGGTGGCTCGACTGGCTCTTCTGATTTCTGGTTTGGGGTCCTTTGTAAGCTTGGAGGGCAGCCTCTCCTCTGCTGGGTGAATGGGCGGCCTGGGAAGGGGTGGAGGCCAGGCTGCCCTGTGGTGGTGCGTGCGGCTGCGCTGCTGCGCTCGGAACAGGAGGCGGCTTTGCCGAGGGTTAAGTCAGTGTGCTGTTTGAGATGGTCATTAATTTAGACTTCTCTGGTCTGTTGGGACAGAGAACACAGCCATGTGTTCCATGGTGCTCCGCCCTTTGCGGAGCAGTCTGGAGCCTTCTAGAATATCACCTGGAGATAGGGCTCAGTTCTCTCTCCTAGCACCTCAGGCGTTCATTCAGGTGGCTGCTGAGCCGGGTTTGGTTGAACCCTTGGAACCACGTGGGAGTGCCACGTGTGGGTGTGCCACACGCAGCCAGCTCTGATCACTAGCTTATTAAAGCAGGAGAAAAATCTGTGTTCAAGTCCCCCTTTGGTGCCCGTGCTGTTGTCATTCGTTCATCTCCTCTCTCAGGCCGTGCTGGGCTTTGAGGTGCCGGCCGTGTGGCCGTGCTCTGTTGTGGCCGTGCCCACCTGCGGTTTCAGAAGCACAGCATTTGCATGCCCAGTGACCTCGGTTGTGTGTGAGCCTCGGCACAGGAGGGCAGGGAGGGACTGAGGGAGACGGTGGTTGGGTGGGCGTTGGAGGGGCCTGGGGGCGGGGGGAGCTGGAGATGTGAAACCTTTGGCTTCTAGCCAGAGGAGCCCCGGGCTCCCTCCCACATGGGCACTTCACGTGGCCAGAGGCCTGCACCCCGGGGTCCTGTTACCTCAGTCCCGCCTGTGCTGTGGCTTAGACCCTTGGCACAGCGTTCCGGTCTCTGGAAGGCCACACCTGGCTTCCCTGCTCAGCTGGTCCCCAGGTGTGTCTCTCTCGAACCTCCTCTCTTCGAGATGTACAGGATGGCTGCTCTGAGGTGCAGATGAGTTGCCCTGGGCTCACTCTGATCTGGGTGGAGATCTTGGCCTCTGTTTGCTGTCCTTGAGACGTCACGCCTGTTGTTCACCCTGGAGCCTGTTGAGTGTTTGTAAGGCTGATTTCATGTTCCCCTTAGGGTGGTTCTGGGGAGGAACATGGGTAATAATCTTGCCTCTTCCTCCTGTCTGGAGGGTCCTGCCCTCACCCTGTAGTTTAAGACCTTCCTGAAAAACGAACATTGCAGTCGAATGGCCGGGGAGGAGTCAGCATGAGTGCTGTAAGCCGGAAGGGAGGCTGGGCCTCGGGTCAGTGGCCACCAGCAGGCTCCTGCTGTGTAGCTTGGACAGCCCGTCTCGGTGGGGGGACCGCCTGGCGCCCGAGCATATGTGCAGACATACCTGGGAGATGGCTTTGAACTTGGTCGATGGTAAAGCATTCTGGTACTTTCTTGGTCTGCACATTGCAACTGACACTTCCCACCTGCAGGAGTGAATACAGAAGTTTGGGTGAAGGGTTTTTGGGGCAGTTCCTAACTCCTGTTGAGGTGCTCTTTATGGCATTACTATTTTATTTAAAGTACGGAGAGTTTCTAGACACCAGGCACAGTTTATTCCTCAGCAGTTTCCCTGCTCGCTGTTTCTCTCTCTAAATATACACGCACATTGTAATTTCAGAGCTACGTATGTCTTTAATGACCTTGCTGCTTGTAGATCATGTTTTGAAAATAGAAATTTTATCTTTTTGTTTTATTCCAGACTCCCTTTAACTTTGGCGTGAATCACAGAGCGCCGCCCTACCCCGCCGGGGATTACTGCCTTCTGTGCCGGAGCGAGCGGAAAGACTCCTCCTTCTTGGAGAGTGGGATGAAGACTGCGAGCAAATTGGCCCTTTCTATGGCTCCCAAGGGCAACAGCGTGCTGCACCTGCCACTCTGGGTGTGCCCGGACTGCCGGCGGACCGTGGAGAAGGAGGAGAGGCACGGTGGCCTGGACCAGCCGGTGGTGAGTGCCCTGCTGAGCTCACGCACTCCCTGGCTGCCTGAGCCCGTGGGTTATGGGGCCTGCTGGGTGGTGAGGTGGTCGGTCTGGGTCTGCTTTCTGGGGAGAGCTTCCTCCTGTCCCTGCTCCACTCTCCTGCAGCTGGGCCTTCTCCTCATCTCTTCTCCTTGCCTACCTGTAGGAGGGCACAGGCCTCAGGCATCCAGCCCGTGGCCTGTGGACCACATGTGGCCCAGGGTGGCTGTGAATGCAACCCAACACAACACTGAATTTCTGAAAACATAAGATTTTTTTGTGTGTGATTACGTGTTGCAGTGTGTTTAATGTGTAGCCCAAGACAGCTCTTCTTCTTCCAGTGTGGCCCAGAGACATCCCAAGGCTGGATACCCCTGCCTAGGGGACCCGCCTCCATGGTTGGACAACTCGGGGCAGCGAGCTTGGGGGCCCGAGGCTGTGCTTTGTAGTCTGGTCTCGGTTTTTGCGGCGAGACAGCTTGTCGAAAAGCCGCACTGGCTTTTCAGGTGTTTAGTTTTAGACAATTCTGCGTTCTGGTGACTCACTGGAGATTCTTTCCCAGGTGCGGTTCCCAAGTCCGGGTTTGCCTTTTCACCTTGATTTCGTGTCGCAGCCAAATGGAGGCTTTCTTGAGGCTCAGGCTGGTGTGGAAGACCGCACCCTCAGTCTTGATTTTTGGCCCAGGCTGTGGCTCTGGGCCGGGCTCTGACAGCTTTCAGGTCTGCTCCGTGGGCTCGGGGAGACCCTGGCTTTTGTGGCCGCTGGGGACCCCGCAGTCCAGGGCTCCTCGTTCTCAGTGCCCAGCTGGCCTGTCTCTGGGCCTGGGGCTGCTCCCCTGTCGGGGCCTAGCGGTTCGGCCAGTGTTTCCCTGCTGCCCAGTGTGAGTCTGCTGGGCGCTGGGCTAGTGGCTTCTGTTTTGGGGTTTCCTTGAAACAGCACCCCCACTATAGTAGTGCTGTGTGGCGTGCCCGCTCTGCTCCCCCATCCCCCTCTGACCGCTGCTTCCGCTCCACAGGTGGGACAGTGCTCCCTGAGGGCGGTGCTTCTGTGTGGCGAGCCTCCGAGAACCGTGCTGAGCACACGTGTCTGAGCACACCCCAGTGTCCACGTTAGTGAGGACGCAGGTGAAGGGACAGGCCAGGGACTGGGCGGGCAGCCCTCGGTTGGGAAGGTAGCAGGTGGACTTCAGTGCTCCAGCCTCAGATCTTTTTGCTTTCAACTTTTTACTTCTGCTTCCTTTCTCTGTGCGCTTAGTGTTCAGCCTCTGCCGCGTTTTTTGTTTCTTATTTTTTGAATCCTCACCTGAGGATATGTTTTTATTGATTTTAGAGAACGAGAGGAAATGGGGGGACAGACAGGATGTGAGAGAAACATTGCCCCGACCCGTGGATTGAACCCACAACTTAGGCGTGAGCCCTGACAGGAAGCGAATCTGCAGTTCTGGTGTTTGGGATGACGCTCCCAGCGGCCGAGCCGCTCAGCCAGGGCTTTCCTGGTTTTCAGTGGAAGGCCATTCAGTGTCTCGGACATGAGTTTGTTCCCCTGGTCACTTTGCAAAGTGCAATCCTTGAGTCTGCTCCCTGGCTGACCGTTCCTCTGGCTCCTGGAACTGCGCCCCTTTCCTTCCTGCTCCCAGCCCTGCTCCTGTGGCAGCATCCTCACACCTCTGCGGGGTGGGGGTTCCACTGCTGTTTCCGTCCTGCACGATGGTTTACCCGGTGAGGCGCTCTCCTCTCCTCGTCAGCAGCCGTGATCTCGGGGACTGCAGAGGTGTCGGCTGGCCTGTGTGTGTGGACTTTGGCCCCCTTCTAATACGCTTGTAAAGTTGGTCTCTTAGTTCAAGCTTGTTCAGATTGCTGGCCTTTTTATTATTTTTTTTTAAATTTCTTTAAACATTAAAAAAAAGATTTTATTTATTTTCATAGTGGTTGGGCGGGGAGGGAAGGAGAGAGGGAGAGAAACATCAATGTGTGGTTGTCTCTCACGTCCCCACTGGGGACCGGGCCCACAACCCAGGTATGTGCCCTGACCCGGAATTGAACTGGCAACCTCTTTGCTTGTGGGACAACACCCATCCCACTGAGTCACACCAGTCAGGGCTGACCCTGTTTTTAAAAAAGCAAGATATGATTGACGTGTGGTAGAGGGCACCCTTTGGAAGGGCACACAGTTCAGTGAGTGTGGGCAGGCGCACGCAGCTGTGTAACCAGCACTCCCGCACAGCCTCGCGGGCTCTTGTGCGGGCAGCACGCTCTCCCTGTCACTGCTGACCGGATCCGGCCCCCAGTCGTGCCTGTTGCAGAGTGTCGTAGACCTGTGACCTGGCGGTTTGCTCTGCACTGGTGAGCACGCTGTGGAGCCTCTCGTTCACTCGCCATTGGTGGGTGTGCGGCTGTCACTCTGGCTAGTCAGCCACGCCCCAGGAGGGCAGGAGTCTTTCCTTTTGTCTTGCCTCCTCCCACCCCACACACCCTCTGCCCTGCTCTGCTCGCTGCTGACCTCCCCACTCAGGGCGGAGCTGGGGCTGACCCCAGGCCCTTGCTCACTCACCTTTTGCCCCCATGGCTGAAGGAGGCCCTTCTCGCTGGGGCTTCCAGGTGCCCATCCCTTTCCGTCCCCTCCAAGGCTTTGTGGCTTGGTTATTCTTTTCTTCTTACTTGTCAGGGGTCTTTCCTTTCCTCCAGTGTTGGTGCTCAGGAGACACAGATGCCCCCAAGCTGTCTGCTTCCACACCTCCTGCCCTCGCCCTCCCCCTCCCTCCCAGCCCTGCGGCCTCTTCTGCTCCCTCCGTGCATGGCTCTGGGCAAAATGTAAACTTCTGGTTTCATTTTTTTAAGTGCCACTTCTCTCCAAGTCGGTTTTGGTAAAGTGTGTTGTCTGAAGTTGTCTGGTTACTGGTGCACAGTTGTGTGTGGACGGTCTCTCTCCAGTTCCTGCCGCATCTGTGGATGCGGCTCCTAGTTCCTCACGTTTCTGCTGTTCTCCTCCCCCTCTCTCAGCCGGTCTCACCGGAAGGCTGTCAGTTTTTTAAAAAGACTTTACTTACTTATTGTAGACAGAGGGGAAGGGAGGGAGGAAGAGAGGGAGAGAAACATCCACCAGTTGCCTCTCACACTCCGAGACCCAGGGACCTGGCCCGCAGCCCAGGCGTGCACTCTGACCCAGAACTGAATGGGAGTCCCTTCAGTTTGCGGGACGACGCCCAGCGCACTGAGGCCCACCGGTGAGCTTCTTGGTTTTTGAAGTCTCCCCTTCACTCTGCCTGCTTGCCGAGCCCCTGCTCGTGTGTGTGTGTGTGTGTGTGTGTGTGTGTGTGTGTGTGTGTGTTACATCTGGGGAGTGGGTGCTCTGGGACACGCGTGCAGTGTCGGAAGGCTCATGCGAGGACAGTGTTGCCACTGCCCTTCACCGTCTCCTCGCTGCCCCTGCCTTCCTACCCAGAGGCTCCCGTTGCCAGACCCCTGCAGACAGTCAGCTCTGTTCCGGAAGCAGGTGCTAAGGGCAGACATGCCAGTGAGTGAGACAGGGCTCTCCCAGTGCCTTGTTCTGGGAGAGGCGTGCGCGTGCTCTGGGGGGGCTGCTCTCCAGGGTCTGGACCCTCCGGGGGCAGCACGGCTGTGCTTGCCTCACAGGACGCCCGTGGGAGCCTGCGCCTTGCTCAGGCCACCGCCTCGGGGGGAAGAGGGAGATGGCCGTCCTGCGTGCGGATGCCCAGGACCTGCATGCAGCCACTGGGCCTTCGTCTCTTTGTCCTGGCCACTGCGGCCTCATGGGCATTTGTTCAGCCTTCCCTGTGGTGACTCTTCTGCCTTCCTGAGTTGAGTTGTTTCTCACCCTGCAGTTTTTGTTCTCTCATCTGTGCCGGAATCCTCTAATCACTGCTGTAGATTTGGAAGTGTTAGTTGTATTGGCTCAGTTTTAAGTATTATCCTATTTTCTTTTTTCCCAATGTATTCTTATTTTATTTTAAAATATATTTTATTGATTATGCTATTACAGTTGTTTCATATTCCCCCTTCATTCCCCTCTGCCTTGTATGCATCCCTCCACCCTCTTAGTTCATGTCCATGGGTTGTACATGTAAGTTCTTTGGCTTCTCCATTTCCCATACTATTCTTACCCTTTCCCTGTCTATTTTCTACCTACCATTTATGCTACTTATTTTCTGTACCTTTTCCCCCCTCCCACTCCCCTGCTGATCACATCCTCCATGTGATCTCCATTTCTGTGATTCTGCTCCTGTTCTAGTTGTTTGCTTAGTTTGTTTTTGTTTTTCTAGGTTTGGTTGTTGATAGTTGGGAGTTTGTTGTCATTTTATTGTTTGTATTTATCTTCTTTTTCTTAGATAAATCCCGTTAACATTTCATGTAGTAAGGGCTTGGTGATGATGAACTCCTTTAACTTGACCTTATCTGAGAAGCACTTTATCTGCCCTTTCATTCTAAATGAAAACTTTGCTGGATAGAGCAATCTTGGTTGTAGGTCTTTGCCTTTCATGACTTGGAATACCTCTTTCCAGCCCCTTCTTGCCTGGAAGGTCTCTTTTGAGAAATCAGCTGACAGTCTGATGAGAACTCCTTTGTAGATAACTGTCTCCTTTCCTCTTGCTGCATATAAAATTCTCTCCTTTCTTTAACCTTGGGTAACGTAATTACCCTTGGGTAATGTGCCTTGGTGTGTTCCTCCTTGGGTCCAACTTCTTTGGGACTCTCTGGGCTTCCCGGACACCCTAGAAATGTATTTCCTTTGCCAGATTGGGGAATTTCTCCTTCATTATTTGTTCAAATAAGTTTTCCATTTCTTGCTCTTCCTCTTCTTCTTCTGGCACCCCCCATGATTTGGATGTTGGAAGGTTTAAAGTCCTGGAGGTTCCTAAGCCTGTCATTTTTTTGAATTCTTGTTTCTTCATTCTGTTCTGCTTGAATGTTTATTTCTTCCTTCTGTTCCAAATCGTTGATTTGAGTCCCGGTTTCCTTCCTGTCACTGTT